TTCTTCTTCTTCTTCTTCTTCTTCTTCTTCTTCTTCTTCTTCTTCTTCTTCTTCTTCTTCTTCTTCTTCTTCTTCTTCTTCTTCTTCTTCTTCTTCTTCTTCCGGTAGGCTCCACACTCCACACCCCTTTCACACACTCCACGCCCCTTTCACCTTCTTTGACCATTGGATTTTATGGCACCTTCTGCATAGATTTATGGCTGTTCAGGGGGTGGGGGTGGCTTTGCAATCAGTACGGCATTGCCCTGAGCAACGCCCCTCTAAGCTGTGGACTCTTGTGAGCAAAAATTCTACTTTGTGAGCTGCCGGCATTAAAGTTGGGAGCGAGCGATTTGGCTGCTGCATCGATCAGTTTGCTCTGGAGCCATCCTTCCTGAGCTAAGACAAAAATGTGTGAGCCGAAGGCTAAAAAACTGTGAGCTGGCTCACACTCACTCAGCTAAGAGGGGACCCTGGCCCCGAGGTATCTGAATGTGGCTTTGAGCTGCCCTTTTTCCTCCCAGTTGAGAAAATGTGGAGCAAATGCTTGATGTAGAATCGCCCATAAACGGCTTGCTCCGGCAGAGACTGGATGGCCAAAGCCAAGCTGTGACAGAGGAGATAAAAACAGGACGCCAGGGCCCCACCTCTCTGAACCGCCCCTCTGGCAGGGTGCCACCAGCCTACGCAGCGCAGCCTTTCTACTGGTAGGGTGGAGGAGAGTGCTGAAGCCGGAAGGGACCTCAGCCAGGGTCGTCCAACTTTATAGGGACAGGATCATTTTCCCATTTCCTTTTGAGTTTAATTTAGTTAAAAATTGAGAAGGCAGGACTATAGGGAAGGTAGCCATTGGTGAGCCGGGGGGAGGGAAGCCAAAAGGAACAGGACCTGGAGGAGAGAACAGCCTTTGGTTAGGGGACAAGAGCTGCCGAGGCAGGAGAGAGGAGAGCGTAGAACCCAGACCGTGAAGAGTTTTGCAAGCGTTACAGGTACCATGGAGGTGGCCTTCACCGAGAAAGACTCTTATGCTCAGCATTTTGTCCCAAAAGATTACCTGGAAATGTATTATTCCTGCCATCCTGAGAAAGAAGACGAAAGCGCCCTGTTAGTCTTTTCTCTGAAAACTCTCCACAAGGCTTTTCACTCCGGTAAGTTTCGACAGCTTTTGTTTCTTTTACAGCTCCGCTGCAACCGGCATCCTGAGAATGAAATCTCCCTGATTAGTTTGGCAGCTCCAGTCCATTATGCCCCGACTTTGTTGTTGACCTCTGACCTCTGGTTCAATAAGAGACAGGAGATCTGCACCCCGAACATGGTTGCCGGCTGGGAAGTGGGCCAGTGAGGCTTATCGTGGCGTGGAGGTAAAATAACATCATATCATCTGGGAAATAAAGCCCCATTAAGACTCTGCTAAAGGGACAGCGCACTTTCCCCCTGGAGGCCGGCTGACAACCGGACTCACAAAATGCACCACCTGCTCATTCCATTGCAGCAACTTGCTTCCAAAGGCACCAGAGCAGAGCAGTCGGTTGGTGTTTCCTGGCCAGCTGGTAACCTCCTGCCCAAGAGACCGGGTCTGTAAATTGCCACATGCCAGTTTCCGAAATCCAAGTAATCTTATTTTCATATTTGAAGGTGCCAGAGGGAGAAACTGGAAGCAGGTGGGTAAGCGGGACACAGAGTTTCTAGGCCTGTGCTGGCTGTAGGCAGGAGCTTTTGGGGGGGAGGGAAGGGTTGTGCAACCTGAAAGGGATGTCATCACTCAGCAACGCTCTGCCTGCTGTGGAGGGAGAAGCCAAATGGGAGAGGAGTAAAGGGAAGGGGCTGCCAGGAGGGAGGAAAGCTGAAGATGGGGAAGACGGAAAGAGGCCAGTGGGGGGAGGCTACAGGTAGTGCCCCGGGGAGGGAAACAGGGAAAGCAAGACGGAAAGAGGGAGTGGGGAAGTGACAGCCCCCCCCCCATGTCCTTGCACATTCCTACTTGTGTTTATATAATATTCTTTCTCCAAAGAGCTCAGAACAGCATAGTTGTTACTTATATAGAATTAAGCTTCTTGGAGGAAGGATATTATATATTAAAAAGTATTAAACAGATTATGGTTCCATAATGGTTCTATTCGGAAAGGACACCGATTAACTCAGGTTACATCATAAACACAAATGCTATTGGACAGGTCTTAGCTCAAATTATACTTCAAACGGTACCTACAGAGAACACGCATGAACACCCATGAAGCTCCTTATCCCAAATCAGACCCTCGGTCCATCAAGGTCAGTATTGCCTACTCAGACTGGCAGCGGCTCTCCAGGGTCTCACGTGGAGGCCTTCCACATCACCTACTGTCAGATCCTTTAACTGGAGATGTTGGAGACTGAACCTGGGAACTTTCTACATGCCAAGCAGAGGCTTTACCACTGACCCACAGCCCCTCCCAAACAGGCACAAATGCCTCCTCTTAACAAGGTAAAGTAAAAGGTAAAGGTTCCCTTGCTTGAAAGCCAGTCGAATCTGACTGTAGGGTTGCGGTGCTCATCTCCGTTTCAAAGCCGAAGAGCCAGCGCTGTCCGAAGATGTTTCCATGGTCATGTGGCTGGCATTACTGAACACCAAGGCGCATGGAACACTGTTACCCTCCCACCAAAGTGGTACCTATTTATCTACTTGCAATTTCTTGCTTTCGAACTGCTAGGTTGGCAGGAGCTGGAACTAGAGACGGGAGCTCACTCCATCATTCGGCACCCGGGTCTTGAACTGCTGAACTACCGACCTTCCACAGCCTGCAGTTCAGCGTCTCAACCACTTGAGCCACCGCAGCTCCTTCCTCTTAACAAAGTGTCCAACAAATGTTTGAATCTGGTTTTTTACATTTTATAAAAATATCAGAGGTCTGTAACTGCCTAAGCAAAAGGAGCCTGTCCTATATTTTAACATCTGTTAGGGCATGCATAGGGAGAGGGATAGAGGAATTGCGTTTTTCCCATTTCTTTTGAATCCCTTGTTCAATCTGGTGCTGCACTAAAAGTATGCTTGTGAACATTTTCCTTTTAATAAATACTTTATAACTTTTGATGCTGGTAGTGGTTCTCTGTACCACATAGACCTCTACCATATAGTACACACTGGCCCCTGCCACATGGCAGGGAAAACACTGGCCAAAGTGCGGCTTTTAATAGCCGCACCAAAAAAGAGACGCCGCAGCGGGATCCCACGATCCCCTGAGCCATGGCGCCGTTGCTCCCCGGCACGATCAGATGCCAGGGAGGAAGAGACGATTGGGAGGGGGAGGCTGCCGAACTGTGCATGCTCGAGCATGCGCAGTACAGCTGGGGGCCGGGGATGCACCGGCGGAAAGACGTGCCGGTGATCCCACGGCCGGCAGTGATGCGGCCTTTCGGAAAGAACCACCTAGGTAGGTGGTTCTTTTTTGCTGCGGGGTTTGGCCGGGAGGGGTGGATTGGGAACGGGCTGGGAACGGGTGCAGCATGATTCCCAGATGTTGTTGTGGGATCGCGCCCGTTTGCTGCGGCCCCGATCCGTCCCTCTCCCGGCCCAAAACCTCTTGTGTGAACAGAGCCACTACTGTAAAAGGGGCAGGGGGGGTTGGCAGTTGGCTAGTGGCCATTCCTCCAGGGGTGCACAAGGCAGTAAACGATCCCCGTGTTGACCAGGTGCTGGGCAGTGGGAGACACAGAGGCAAGGCCTCGGAACTTGGAAGGGAAGCTGGGAGTCCTGGCCCTCCCAGCGGGGAATTCCTACAAAGGTGGCAGTGGTTACCCGAGAGAGAAAAGCCTCTCCAGGTGATATGAAAACCTTGGAGGTCAGGGTGGAATACGGCCTGCAGGCCCATTCCGCCACACACCCCAGAGGCTTCTCTTTCCTTCCCTGAGCCACTGTCCCTGCAAAACTCCATGGTACACCCCCCCTCAGTCCTTCTGTTTCTTTGTTGTAATATACAAATCCCACTTTTATGTTCTAATTGCATGGCAACCAGTTCAGGAAAACAAGACAGACACATCCCAGGGAAAATGCAACATGTCACCAGACCCATGGAAGGTCTTCGTGGTCAGGGGAAGTCACACGTGGGTTGCTGTTCCATGTCCATCTACTTCCTATGGACTTCTGAAGGGTGTCACTCGTCTCCGTGAAACATGGCCTCAGTTCATTTATTCCCTTCATTTACAACCCGCCTTTCTCCCCGAATGAAACTGGAATGGGACAGCAACTTTAAAGTCCAAGTCCCGATTTAGTGACTAAGTAAGCCCTGCCCCTTGAACCGGGACTGGCTTGCAAGAAAGGGTGCCTCAGATGGCACCCTTAAACATCCTGAAGGCCCCTGAACAACACATAGTGATACGGGGTCTAGCAGCTGCTCGGCACAAACAATTAAGAAAATGCTTACAACCAGCTGGCCAGTGGGGAAAGCAGCCCCCCCAAAGCCCCCTCCAGCAGTGCTGGCACTGGTGTGATGACGCCCCCCAGAAGGGATGTCATCACATTGCCAGTGTCAGGAGCAATGCTCTAGGTTTTGGGCAAGCTCTATGGTTTTGAGGACAGAAAACCCATAGAGTTTTGCCCAAGACCTAGAGTGTCACCCCCAACGTTGGCAACGGGATGATGAAGATATCCCGATTGTGCCCAGAGGATGCCTTGCCAGCAGCCCTGTGGGACTTGGCAACCCTACCCATCACCAGATGTCCAGGAATGTTCAACCTGGAGTTGGCAACCCTGTGGCATCCCATGATCCAGGGCTGGCAGTCCTAGCAATGGCCTTGATGGAAGACCACGTCAGACGACCTGGAAGCTCTTCCTTGGGCTATCAGAGAAGTGTGGATCAGTTCCGGCCACCCAAGAAGCACAGCTGAGCAAAAATAATCTCCGTAGGGCAGCTTGTGTGACCCAATGTGTGATGCGATGCAGGTGGCCTTAAAGGAGACACCCTGATTGACATCGGAAGTGGACCCACCATCTACCAGTTCCTCTCGGCCTGCGAGTCCTTCCGAGAGATCATCGCCACCGATTTTACCGACCAAAACCGGGAGGAGATGCAGCGGTGGCTGAGGAAGGAGCCGGGAGCTTTCGACTGGAGCCCAGTGGTGAAATATGTCTGCGAGCTGGAGGGGGACAGGTCTGTAGAGGAAGCTGTGTGGTTCCAAACCTCCAGATAAGACCTGGAGTTCTCCCAGAATTGAAATGGATCTCCAGAATATAGAAACCAGTTCTCCTAGGGAAAACTGGTTTGGAAGATGGACTGTATGGCGTTACAGCCTGTTGGGTCCCTGACCTCCCCAAAGGCCACCCACCCTAGGCTCCACCCCCGAATTTCCAGGAATTTCCCAATCGGGAGCTGGCATCCCCACTTGCTAGCTGCCTACCTTCTTTGTCTCGTCACACTCCTGTCTCCCTTCTGCCAGTTTAGCGTCGTGGTTAAGTGCGCGGACTCTAATCTGGGAGAACCGGGTTTGATTCCCCACTTGGTTGGCAAACCTATGTTAGTTCCTTGAGCTCGTTTGGCGGTTCTAGCAGGGGAGCTCAGCTATCAGAGACCCTCGACCAAAGAACAGTACAGTCCTTCTATCTGGGATGGCTGTCCTCTTTCACCGAGCGCCAGGGGTCATTTCATAGAAAAAGAGGTGCTGGAGCTCATTAGCATAACTCATTAACATAACTCATTTGCATATGCCACACCCCTGACATCACCGGAAACGTGTCAGAAGGCGAC